GCACAATGAATAACACACAGAAAATCATGCAACGCTTGGGTATTTATAGTTAGGGATGTTTAGGCATTATAGACTGTGTAAAACTTTTCAAAATCGTGAATTAGGGTTGGCCGAATAATACCGTTTCTCGAGCGACCCTTTAGTGAGAAGCTAGCGAAGGCCTACCTATTTTTGTTGCTCGAACAGTGTCTTGACAAGAGATGAGTGAAAGTGCGCCGTTTTCTTCCTTGTTCCAAACTCAATCTCTGACCTTAAGCTACCTTATCCAATTATATAATATTGCTCCTAACTCCTTGACTTTTACACATATTCAATTTAGTCATTTTTCTTCACAGAATCGACAATTACAACATAAAACCTAACAGTTGTAAGCACATTGATTTGGATTATCATTTTGTGAGAGAACTAGCGGCTTTTGGAGAGATACAATCCGTTATGTCTCTATAAACTCCAAGTTGCAGACGTGTTCACAAAGAGCCTCGACAAACCTACCTTCATTTTTTTTGGCGATCCAAGCTACGTGTCCAAGATTCTCAGTCACTAAGCTTGCGGAAACGGGGTGTTATGGTTATGGAAGGATCCAAAAATCACGTCTCCAATAGTTCAGCCAATCTTATGATATCACAATCACATGATTATATGCAATCCCTTGATTGTATACAATTGTATAGATGGATAATTTGACTTTGTTGTAAATCATCTAGCTATCATATTGTACAGAATATAAAGCATACGAGCAAGAATTCCTGTAGTGGTTTTCTCATTACCTTCTCACTATCTATCCGATCCCAGAAATCAGATCAAACTTTTCTCTTCACTTATACTTCTTGGCTCAAAATTATTCTACAATGTTCGACTTGTAATGTTATTTTAAACATAATTTGTAACACAATCTATTGTGGATTAAATTTGCTTAATTTTCACTACTACACGAGATTTATTTTTTTGTTGTTTGACAAGTTAACAACAGAAGCATTCAAAAGTTGAAGCAGGAAGTAGGTTCCCTGATTTCCACTATTTGCCAGTGAGGTGAGTGATTACAGCAAATGGGAGGCACGAGCAAAGGCGTAGGCACAGGTTCAGGTTCAGGTTCAGGTTTAGGCACAGGATTGGTTTGGTTAGGGCCAAAACTCACGATCTTAGCGAAACAGACCTTCTTCCGAAGCAATTGGACAAGCCTCACTGGGTCGATTCCTTCACCAATCACTGTTAGAATGTTCCTCTCCTCTCCCCCCATTGCCATCGACTCAACTCCTACAAATAATGTTGATGAGACCGTGTAAGATTATTAAGGGTGTAAATTATAATCCGAAGTGCAAGTGAAGATGAAAACAATGATCAAGATATATTAATGGGTTTGAGCTAGATTAGAAAATAGAGTGAGCAATGCTATGTGCCATCACAGAAACAAACAAACGGTTTATATTACACACAGAAGGATTTAACTTACCAGGGATGCTTACTGCGACCTTCTTGGCCTTTCTTCTAATCCTCATAGCTCGATCCAACTCTTCGTCCTTGCAGCACATGAACTTCAAGAACATTTCGATGATGCCTTCTTGATAGCTAGAGTTTTGGCCATTCAGGGTGACCTCAATGACTACCTTTTGCTGATGAGTAACAAAATTGAAAGAGCAGTATTAAAGGGTATTTTTTGCATTTCATGCATGTCAATTGTGTGTGAATGTATCTGAATGTTTGTACATACCGCCATCCTTCCGTTGATGGTGTGGACAGTGGATGCAGGCGACAATTTCCTTTGTGAAATTTAAGGCTCAGCGTAGAGAATATGAGTGACTTCTTTCTTTTATATATATATATATACACACACACACACAGACTCGTGGAAAATGCAAAAAATTCTCTGATCGTTTGTTTTCAAATGTTTGAACACTGAAGAAGACTAGACTAATTAGTAATTACACATCTGCCAAATTTGTAAAGAAATTATTAAAAAATTCAATAGCTAGGAAACCCTTGTACCCACCAAAGAGGAGCAAGCAATTTTTTATTTTTATTTTTTTAATTAAAGATCTCATACACGAACAAATTTCACAAATAAACAATAGAGAGTTTGAAAATGAAAATTTTACTTATTGGAATACCATATAAACTATTTTATCTAAAAGTTTAATACATTAAAGACACCTTTACTTGAATACCATGTCAAACAACTTTAAATTAAAAGTTTATAACATTAAAAACTCGATATACATATTATAAATTTTAGTACTTATAACTCAATTAAAGTAATCTATATGCCCATATATCATTTCTCAATAATTGATTCTTTTTATAAATATCGATATTCAGATTGAAAATAAAAGAAAAAATAAAAATAAAATCTAGTAATTCCTAGTTCTCATATTGCTGGAACCTCCAAAACCACAAAAATCTTTAGTTATAATAGGATTCCAACTCAGTACCTTTTGATTGAAATTTTGAGAAGAGTTGCTTATTAGAGATCAGCATAATACAATAAGAGTTGTAACCAGTGTTCGGGGCCAGATGTTGTCTATTGTCAACCGTTATGGTAGAAGCAATTGGGGGGCTTGAGAGGCGGTGATTTACTTTAATAGCAGATATCAAAATTGAAGAATGTTATTTATTTAACAAATGTCCAAAATCAATCTTAAATTCGATATTACGTTAAGATTTTAATTAACATTTGGCATTCATGATTCAACCTTATTAATCTTAAAATGTAAATATCAAATAACATTGTTTAGAGGTTTCTAAACTGGTCACCAAAATTTATTATTATTTAATTAAATAACTCTAAATAACATTATTTTCTTGAAGGGTGACAAGAACTACATCTTTACTTTGCAAAACATAAAATAAATAATTTAAACAAGTTTCAAAATATTTTTAATATGGAAGAATCGCCAATATTCTATGCCCAAATAACTAAAATCACTATTCCAGCCTTAGATTTTAGACAATATTGTGATGAAAAATCTGTCATATATTCATCGCTAATTTTAATAGAAATTATCTGTTAATCTCTACTCGATTTTTTTTCATCGTGGATGGATGAAACCTGATATTGTTGTATTCTAAAACGCATTGAAGAAATATCATTGATAAATTCTTTAATTATATGAGTTCTTAATGTTATCGGTCTTATTTTTTGTTAAATTTATAATAGTTTCTAGCTTCAATGCTTGGCGGCTAAGAGAGGAAAATGTCTTCAATTAGAAAACGAAATTTCACTTTAGAAAAAACAATTAGATTAATTAAAAAAGAAATTGAATTATAATAAGGGTTGACGAGGTATCTAACCCTCCTCTCAACACACTGATGATCATTGATTAGACATCTCTATATTCTGCCTAAAATTTAAGGGCTGTTTGATAGCTCTTTATTTTCTAGGGAAAATGAAAAACGAATTTTAACTTCCACCTTGGCTTGTTTGATTGAAATTTTTTTTCAAGGAATTCGTTTTTCACCTTTGGCCGCCACATCATCTTTTTCTTGAATTCAAATTCTCACCATATTCGTGAGAATTCATTTTTCGGGTTACTGTAGTGATTTTTTTATTTTTTTTCATTTTTTATTTTATTTATTTATTTATTTTATTTATTTATTTATTTCTTATTTTTTGAAATGAAAATAAATTCTAAGAATTATTGTAAAAAATTATATCCCTTTAATTAACAATTTTCATGTAAAATAAAACCAAACGAATATCAAAAGATAGATGATTTTTTTGATTTTTATTATTTTTTATTTTTGGCAATGAAAACAAATTCCATCCCCAATACAGTAAATTATATCCCTTTAATCGACAATTTTCATGTAAAAAAAAAGTCAAACAAATACCAAAAAATACTTTCATTTCAACATTTTTCACGTGAAAAATTATATCAATCAAACACAATAATTTACAATTCTCAGAAAAATAATTTCTATACAATTTAATTCCCTAGAATTTGTTTTCCTTCCTTCCAAATTTCATCTTTACAATCAAACGGACCCTTAAAATAATTCAAAAGTCAGCAATAGTTGAGAATAAGCATTATAAGTCTAAGTCTCTTCAACTATATACATATAATTAGGACATTCAACCACTCGTGGTGAGACTCTCATAACAAAGCTTTTTGCCACTTAGACTAAGCCCAAGTGTTTACATTTAACTACTAATTAATCAACCTAATAACTCCTCTAATTGTCAACATAACTTTATTACTGTATCCCACAAATGCATAATTAATGTGGAAAAGCTGTAAAAGTGATCTGAAAGACACCCAAAAGATTTTGCAAGTGGTCGAAAATTCTATATCGATACTTTTTATTGGCGTGTCGATTCATGAGAAAAATCAAATGATGGAGACTACTAATTGTTGAGAGTAATACAAATCTCTATATGTTATTTAATAGTTTCATATTTATTTAATGTGAAATTTATACCTTAATATATTCCCACAGATGATAGCTCGTTTAAGCAAATCATTCTTTGAATTCTGCTCATTTGAGTTTTAATAGGATTAAATTGCTCATTTGAATTTAATAGGTTATGATATTATATTAAAATTTGAAATTCTATCTCATGTGGGCATTCCTTAATTAAGAGGAGAATAACACAATTCCTTATATATTGTATACTAGTTTCCTATTTATTCAATGTGCGATTCATTCTTTAATGATATTATCATTTTGCCATTAATATTTTATGTTAGTTTCCAATCTATGTTACAAAATTTCTATTAAAAAATTAACCATTAGAATTAAATGAAAGCATCTATTTTCATACATCATTCTAATATATTTATCGACTTTTATAAAAATTTCTATGTTACATTTTTAACTTTACATAAATTTTCTTAAATAGACGAGTAAAAGCAAATACCACTCTAAACTCTTCCACTGACTTTTCAGCAATAAGAATTAACTATACCACTAAATCTTATGCTTTAAAAGTAAAGAAGATCTAATTTTGAGATCATTCCCATAATCATCGCCACCGAAAGTCGAAATTCTTCTTTTCCACCTCAAGCCGCCAAGAAGCAATTCAATATTGGACCTTGTAATTAGCCCAGAAATCCAACAAAAACAAACATATATACCCCTAGCATCATCAATACTTTTAGGGATGATAGAGATGAAGCAAAGTCAATAAATTTTTATTCAATTGATCCATTTGCATAATAATAGGGATGATAGAGATGAACCTATTGATGAGCATGTTATGTTTGATTAAAAGTACCATCTCTCGATAGATACAATGGCGGATCCAAGGTTTTAAGTCATACGAGCGGCCGTTGACCATCGATCATCGATCACAATAAAATATTAAGAGTCAGTTTGATGTCTTTCTTTTTTGTAAAAAATATATTTTGAAATAGTGATTTGATGGAGAATGTGTGGTTAAAAATAAAGAAATATTTTGAATTTGCATTTAATATTATTTTTATTGAAAAATGTATGGTTGAAAAAAAAAAAAGAGAAATGTATTATGAAATAAATGGGAATCAAACAGGGCTTGAAATTTAAATATAAGAATTATTTTGTTCAAATTGAACATATATGATTCTATTATAAAAATAAATCATACTCACCAAATGACATTGTTGTCAAGTTTTGTATAATCCAAAGGAAAAGCACTAATTCGAATCTTTACAATTGCATTAAAACTTCTAAAATTTAACATATATTATTTTGTTAAATTTAGTGTCAAAAATCGACAAGTGTCATAATAGTCAAACTCTCAATAATCCTAACAAGAGCTCACGGTCAGAATCCCCTTTTGGAGCCCTCTCTATTGCATTAATTTTGGTAAAAATTGTAAAACTAAAAATATACGATAATATAGTTGGTAAGGGATTGGAAACCTAGACTTCCAATATATTGTGTAAGCTCTAACCAACTTAGTTAGAAGAGACCTTTGATATTAAAATGAATTATTAGTAATATAAGTTAAAAAGCTCATCTATTGTCAACCAAAACAAATCACTCCCGACGGATCCAAGGGCGGTCGTGGATCCTCTCCAGGTGCTCGATCTGCCGCGGTCGTGGATGCTCTCCAGGTGCTCGATCCGCCACTGGATAGATAAGTTAGTATTAAAGAAAAGTTAAACTAAACTATTATCAATTATATTGCTCCATCTCGTCCACTACAAACTTCATTGTTTGGTTCTATGTGGTCTGGCTTCCTTCTTTTTCCACCTCAAACATAAAAGTTTGAAGTATGGTAAATTAGTTTCATTGGAAGTCGGAATTAGTTCCCATTGGGAATTCTAATATGGAACCGATTGGTTCAGTATAACTCAAATTTTTTATTTTTTTCTTTTTGCCTCTAACAGTTAAAAATATAGTACGTTAATCTCATTGTTTACAAATTGGATGTTGGAACACTGGATTCCTTATTTCACTTCCACAACTATCAATTAAACAATTAAATAGGTACATCAACTGTTATTGCTCTTGATTCATCACAAGACATTATTATCCGATTCGCCTAAGACCCTTCTTTCTTTTTTTTTTTTTTTTCTTTTTTTTTTTTTTTCGTTTTTGAATGAATATTATCTAATTAAAATAAGTTATATTTGTCTATTAACACAGAATTTATTATTATTATTTTTTTTTAGTTTCTGATTTTTAATGGGACTATTATGAATAGTTGAATACCACAAGAAGTAGAAATCAAAAGGTTCTTCTTTTATGTACCTATAAATAAAATATTTCCCCTGATATTTTGTCACTGTTTGGCCACAATTAAAAGTTTAATACATTTTTTCTCTCTTTTATTTAATTATATATTTTTCAATAAAATAATATTACGCAT